GACCTTTAAATTTCTGAGTTTGACTTATTTCGATTAATGTGATGATATCTAGTCCCATCATTCTTCCTGCAAATGCCATTATTTGTTTTTTTTTTTTTTAAGTCCGTATAAAGCTCCATTGTGTAGACATACCACATTCTCTTTATCCATTTATCCAATGATGGTCATCTAATCTGGTTCCAGAATTTTTCTACTGTGCTATAAACATGGGTATGTATATATCACTGTAGTATGCTGACTGTAAATCTTTAGGATGAATACCAAGGAGTTATATGGCTGGGTCATAAGATGGTTCCATGCCTAGTCTTTGATGAGACTCCATACTGATTTCCTAGTTGTTGTAATAATTTACTGTCCCACCAACAGTGTGAAAATATTTCTTTTCCTGCACATCCTCTCCATCATTTATTAGTATCTGTATTCTCAATGACTGCTATTCTGACTGGTGTGAGATGAAATCTCAGTGTTGTTTTGATTTGCATTTCTCTAACTATTAATGATGTTGAGCTATTTTTCATGTATTTGTTTACCATTTGTATGCCTTATTTTGAGAAGTAGATGTTCAATTCATTTGCCCATTTATTAATTGTGTTATTTGAATTTTTGTTGTAAAGGTTTTTGAGCTCTTTATGTATTCTAGATATTTAATCCTCTGTGAGAAGAGTAGCTGGCTAAGACTTTCTCCCATTCCTTGGGTTCTCTTTTCATGTTTCTAATTGTTTTCTTTGCTGTGGACGAGATTTTTAATTTAATTGTATATAATTTATTAACTCTTAGCATTATTTAGTGAGCTTTTGGGGCCCTATTAAGATGGTTGTTGTTTGTATCTAAAAGTTGGAGCATTGACCTCACATTTTCTTCTAGAAGTTGCATAGTTTCTGGTCTATGCCAAGGTCCTGGATCCATTTTGAGTTGATTTTTGTGCAGGATGAGAGACAAGGTTCTAGTTTCATTCTTCTATATATGGACAACCAGTTGTCCCAGCACCATTTGTTTAGAAGGCTGTCTTTTCTCCAAAGTATGTTTTTGGGAACTTTGTCAAGGATCAGATG